GAGGTGGTGAGTTCACCTCCGACCTCTTGCGGGCCTTCTGTCAGGGGAAGGGCATCGAGCAGTCGTTCAAACTTCCGAGCTCACCACAACAAAATGGGGTTGCTGAGCGCCGCATTGGCTTAGTCATGGAGGTCGCTCGTACCTCCTTGATTCATGCGGCGGCTCCCCATTTTCTGTGGCCGTTTGCGGTCCGGTACGCCGCGCAGTAGCTCAACCTCTGGCCCCGTGTCTCCGTGCCGAAGACCTCGCCCACACTGCGTTGGATGCGGGAGGTTGGCAATGCGTCGCGTTTCCGGGTCTGGGGTGCTCGTGCCCTTGTCCGCGATACGTCCGCGGACAAGCTCTCCTCCCGCACCATTCCATGTGTCTTCCTTGGCTTTGTCCTTGACGCGCCTGGCTGGTAGTTTTACCACCCTACCTCGCGCCGTGTCTTCCCCTCTCAGGACGTCACCTTTGACGAGTCGGTTCTTTCTACCGTCTCTTCCCCTAACGCACTGCCCCTCTCCCTCCCCCGCTGCTTTTCCTCGCTCCAGGTCCCCCTCAGGTAGACCCCCTCCCTCCTCAGGGTCCTGCTCCTTCAGGTGTGTCTCACGTAGACCCGCCCCCGTTGGCTGAGCCTGTAGAGGTCACTAGCGACTCAGGTGTTGCTGTGGGAGGTGCTGATGGGGGTGCTGCTTCTGAGGGTGCTGAGCTTGCGCGTGAGGTGCAGGGGAGTGCGGAGCCTGGGGGTGCTGAGCCTGCGGCTGCGTAGTCTGGGGGTGCTGAGCCCATCCGTGAGGTGCCGGGGGATGCGTAGCATGGGTGTGCTGAGTGTGTTGGCGTCCCTCTGGGTCGTTTCACGATGCGGGCCCGTCTCACCACAGCAGGCACGAGAGTGGCTTGCGTCACGTACCCGCCTGAGGAGTCGTGCTGCTGGTGCTGCTTGCCATGGAGGCGCTTGGAGTGCTGGTGTCTCTGGTCCTGGAGGTGCTCGTACTGGAGGTACTGGAGCTGCCGAGACTGGTACTGCTCCTGGAGCTGGAGGTGTCAGTTCTGGGGGTGCTGCTGGTGGAGGTATTGGGGTTGGAGGCCCTGGAGCTAGTGCTGTCGACCCTGGCGTTGGAGACCCTGGAGCTGGAGGTGCCGGTTCGGGGGGGGCTGTTGCTGGAGGTACTGGGGCTAGAGGCCTTGGAGCTGGTGCTGTTGACACTAAAGTTGGAGACCCTGGAGCTGGAGGTGCCGGTTCTGGGGGTGTTGTTGCTGGAGGCCCTGGCGCTGGTCCTGTCAACCCTGGAGTTAGGGACCTTGAGGTTGGAGGTGCCGGTTCTCGGGGTGCTGTTACTGGTGGCGCTCGAGCTAGAGGTTCTAGAGCTGCTGGAGGCGCTGGAGCTACTGGTACTGGTGGCACTGCACCACCGTGACTGTTTTTTGCTCCGCCGTCACCATCGTCTCTGCCATCGCCTGACTCCGTGCTCCGCCAGGTTCTTAGCCTTCCGTCTTCTAATGGCCTCCCATTACAGCCCGGCGCACCATTGCCTACTCCTTCTCCTTACACTGAGCAGACAGACTCACTTACATAGCGTCGTAAGCCTGCGTCTTGTCCTGCCTCGCCTGTTCGCGTGCGTCACACTGGTCGTCGAGCTCCTCGTGAGCATCCGCCTCCTGTCCCTGGCACGCACGCTATGGCACTTCGTCCTTCCTCTTTTCCAAGGCGTGTTCCCCTACCGTCTCCTCCTGCGTTTTCTCTGCCTGACGTTCAAGACCCTGAGTCTGACTTGGTTCATGCTGCTCACCCTACTGTCACGCGTCTGCTCGTCACTGTTGTCACTGACCCGTGGTTTGAATCTGCTGATGTGTTTGCCTTAGTCTCTGAGCTTGTTGACTTTGCTGCTGCATGCCGTCTCGACTATGCTGCTAGTCTTGTTGCTGAGTCTGAGTTTGTCTGTCCTCCGTCCGTCGGGGTGAGTGTGCTCTTGGCACGGACGTCCTTGAGGACAGGCAGGAGGACTTTGAGTGTCTTGCAGCCACTTCGCCTCATCTCGTGGCCGTGCTGCTTGCTCCTGAGGGAGACCCGGATGCACCAGACATCCGGACTCCGCATTCTTCTGCTGAGGCGATCGCGGGTCCCTACTCCTCTCAGTGGCAGACAGCCATGGAGGCAGAGATGGCATCCTGAAAGTCCACAGACACTTACATCGATGAGGTTCCCCCTCCTAGGGCGAACATTGTCGGTGGCATGTGGATTTTCAGGCTGAAGCGGCCGCCGGGTTCTCCGCCTGTCTTCAAGGCATGTTACGTTGCACAAGGCTTCAGTCAGCGACAGGGAGTTAAATTCTTCCAGACCTTCTCCCCTACCCCGAAAATGACCACTCTTCGGGTGCTACTGCTCTTTGCCGCTTAGCGTGACTACAAGCTTCACTCTCTGGACTTCGGCACAGCGTTCTTATAGGGCAGCCTGCAGGAGGAGATCTGGCTGCGCCGCCCACCTGGCTTCACGGGGTCGTTCCCTCCTGGTACCCAGTGGAGCCTCCGCCGGCCAGTCTACGGTCTCCGTCAGGCGCCTCGTGAATGGCACGACACACTGAGGACTACACTTGCGGCTCTTGGGTTTGCCCCTTCCACTACTGACCCGTCGTTGTTTCTACGCACCGACACTTCACTACCGCCGTTCTATATCTTCGTATACGTTGACGACTTGGTCTTTGCCACTGCTGACACTGAAGCTCTCGCTCTTGTGAAGTAGGAGCTGCAGAAGAGACACACGTGCACAGACCTAGGTGAGCTGCGCAGTTACCTTGGCTTGCAGATCACCCGGGACAGCGTACGCCGCACCATCAGCCTGACTCAGTCACACATGGTGTAGCAGGTCCTTCAGCTCTTCGACTTCACTTGGTCCTCGCCACAGTCCACTCCTCTGGCTACAGGTCACTCGCTCTCAGCTCCACCTTCGGACGAGTCCGTAGAGCCGAGTGGCCCGTACCCAGAGCTAGTGGGCTGCCTCATGTACCTGATGACATGCACTCGTCCTGACCTCGCATACCCTCTTGGCCTTCTGGCACGCTACGTGGCTCCTAGTAGGCACCGAAAGGTGCACATGGATGCTGCAAAGAGGGTATTGCGCTACTTGTGCAGTACATCGGGCATGGGGCTCGTGCTTGGAGGGTGGAGCTCAGTTGTCCTCACTGGACACTCAGATCAGACGCTTCTTGGGTTGACGACCTGGCTACGCAGCGGTCGTCACAGGGTTACACTTTCAGCCTTGGCTGCGGCTCTGTTTTTTGGCGGTCTACCCGCTCGTCTTCTGTTCTCAACTCCAGTTGTGAGGTTGAGATCTACGCCACAGCCATGGTTGCACAGGAGTTACGCTGGCTCACCTACCTGCTGACCGACTTGGGAGGGCGGCCTCGTTCTCTTCCAGTTCTGTACGTAGACAACAAGACCACCATTGCCTTGTGTCGGGAGCACACACTGGAGCACAGGACGAAACACATCGCTCTGGGTTACTTCCTGGCTCGAGAGTTGCATCAGTGTGGTCAGCTTCGTCTTGCTCACGTGGCCACTTGGGCCAACACTGCTGATATATTCAGCAAGGCACTTTCGTCTGGTGATCATCAGCGCTTCTGTATTATGTTAGGCCTTGTGCCTGTTTCGTCTCACTTGCTCACTACGTGATTTTGCTTGTACTGTGAACTATATATATACCTACATGCTTGCTCTTGCTAGGTAGTGATCACAGTGTTGCTGTTGTTGCATATATACCTCTGCATGTGAGCTCACCTTGTGGCTCTTTGGCCCTGTTCGATAGCGAGGGTGACCCATGCCAGAAAACATTGAGGTGACCTCGTTGGTTGGGCGGGAAACGGTTTGCGACCCCCTGCGACGAGTTATAATTCCCGCCAGCGCGAACGACCCCCCTGCGATGTCCTTGGTTTCCCGCCCAGCTGCTAAAACATGGCGGGAATTTTAACGGGGTGGTTTGACACCACAGCGCGCAGTAACAGTGACTGTCGACTAATCATTACAGCCCATCCCTAGTAAAATTTCAGACCATTACCAGACCATTGCCAATGTTACTTTTCAAATAAGTGGCCCCAATGCCAGACCAATGGGCTATTTAGGGATAGTCACGCCAAACAAAAGGTATAAACCAGTTGCACCACAAATCCTTTCGACACACCTAACTAATGCTGGAACCGATCTGGAATACGGTACTCTATAAATTTCCAGCACAAACATTTGGGTGGGGCTTTTGTTTTTACGTAGACCGTCGAACCCCCGGGCAGACCCCGCGGCTGGAAACAGTCCGCTTCAAAGGGCCGTTGAGGTGGAGCTTTTCGACCACCTCGGCCGTCTTCGGGTCGGCCAAAATGATTACACTGCCGGCGCTATCCTACCACTTGCATTTTGTCGCGACGCTGAACCATTTGGGCGACAGAGCCAAACCAAATGGTTGCATCGTGGGGGCCCCAAAGTGCTATCGAACAGGGCCTTTGTGTGTGCTCAGTGCGTGTGGTGACGTTGTGATCCACCCTGAGCTTACTTGGCTTCTCTTGACTGGTCTTGTGACCCCTTGCTCTCCCCCATTTTACCTATGGGGGTGTGTCAAACTATACATGAGCTAGTTCTGTAGAATCTATAGTGGGATAACCCGAATGGGGTACAACCCGAAGTTAGGGTTAGTACTTGTACCCACAGTTCATTCAATGCAATCATTCCTGCTTGCTATCTTGACACCCGCGTCCTACTTGAAGAAGGCTTATCTACAGAAAATTGATTGGAGGTGCGGCATTCTGCCTACTAACCTTTTGAGCATAGAATTCAGAGCCACTCCCACCAGCGGAGGCTCCATCAGAGGAAGGCTTTATCTATCTACTGCTCATTTAAGCTGAGAAGGGCGAGAGGGGGGGCTTGTTTGTCTGTGCCTGCAGCAGGAGAGGCTTCTCCACGCTCTCGAGCACCTCAATCACTTCCAGCAGGGAAGACTCTATCAGGGAAAGGTGTTATCTAAGGGAAGGCGTTATCTATGCTGAGAAGGGAGAGAGCGCGGGCTTGTTTGCCTGCGCCTGCAGCAGAAGCGCCTTCTCCACCCCCTCGAGCACCTCAATCACTTCCATGAAGGACGGGCGAGCCATCGGGTCTGCCGCCCAACACCGGGATATCAGGCTGTGACAATGGGAGAAGGAAAAGGGAGAAACAGTAGAGAGAGTGGTTAGGGGGAGAGGGTGGGGGAGGCAGAGATGTGGGAAACCATTACCGCACTCTAGATTCCCTTGGCACCCTTGGGAACCTTGGCACCTCGACTTCTCCACCCCCTCGAGCACCTCTATCACTTCCATGAAGGACGGGCGAGCCATGGGGTCTGCCGCCCAACACCGGGATATCAGGCTGTTGGGGGTAAGAGTGCAGGAGAGAAATAGCAAGAGTGAGGGGAAGAGACGAAGAGAAGGAGAGAGGGAGTGAGGGAGTGAATAGGGGGAGGGAGGGGAGGCAGGGCTGTGGGAAAGCAGGAGGGGCGAGACACCTCGAGCACCTCTATCACTTCCATGAAGGACGGGCGGGACATGGGGTCAGCCGCACAACACCGGGATATCAGGCTGGTGAGGGAGAGAGGGAGTGAGGGAGAGAGGGGGAACACGAGGGAGAGACGGAGTGAGGGAGAGACGGAGTGACGGTGGAGGGAGAAGGAAGCAGAAACGTGGGAACCCAGTAGGCGATTTCTACAACTGTTTAGAACATGACTTCAACAGCCCGAGACACAAACACTTCCTGAAACCCCAGACTCGACCCCTGCAATTATGGCTCCATTTGAGGCGCCTTAACAGTTTAACCCCAAAGAGAGCACAGCACCTGACACAGCACCTGACATAGCATGTGACACAGCACCTGAAAGAGTTGCTGACACAGCACCGGGCTAGGACCTGAAAAAGCACCTGACCAACCTCACATACATACTGACTCACTCTTTGACCCCCTCGGGGTATGCCTTGGATTTGAAGGGCGGCCTGATGCCCTCCATCCATTGCCACCTTGAACCCTTAGACCCAGCGCCCTGAAGCCTTGTGAACCAGAAACCCTGAAACCCTTGAATCACGGCGCTCAAACAGCATTTTCACTCACTCTTTGACCCCCTCGGGGTACGCCTTGGACTTGAAGGGCGGCCTGATGCCCTCCATTGCCACCTTCCATGCCACCCCCTCTGGTGTCATGGTCTTGGCGAAGGGCGGTAGACCCTCAAACATCTGGGGGGTTAGAGGGGAGGAGAAGAGGAGAGCGGAGGGAAGACACAGAGAGAGGCAGAGAGGATAGGTGCTCCATAGAGTGGGGGTTTGATGCCCTCCATTGCCACCTTCCATGTCTCCCTCTCTGGCGTCATGGTCTTGGTGAAGGGTGGCAGGCCCTCAAACATCTGAGAAAGGAGTGGTGGAGGGAAGCAGCAGGCAAGGTGATTTTTGAGTCGACTAAAAAATCATCTGAGAAAGGGGGGGAGGGAAGCAGCAGGCAAGGGGAGGACGGGGGAAGGATGCAATAGGAAAAGTCGCGGAGATGGGATGGGGAGGCAGCAGCAGGGAAGGGCGGGACCACAACAAGCAACATCTCAGCCGTCGTCCATCGCATCTCACCTGGCAACGAATCTCAGCCGTCCATCGCATCTCACCTCATAGAAGATAACGGAAGAGGAGTAGTCGTCCAAAGTGCAATTGGCAGGCATGTGGCGGTCTGGCAACTCACCTTGCCATCAATCACAGCCGTCCATCTCACCTGGCGATCATCTCACCTCGTAGAAGATGACGGAGAAGGAGTAGACATCCACCGTGCGATCGTATGCCTGGTGCTTGAACACCTCTGGTGGGACCCAAGGAGCAGCAACAATCCATCACAGCCATCCATCTCACATTGCACTCCATCACAACCGTCCATGTCACCTGGCAGCCCATCGCAGCCGTCCATTGCATCTCACCTCATAGAAGATGACGGAGAAGGAGTAGACATCCACTGTGCGGTCGTACGCCTGGTGCTTGAACACCTCTGGCGCCATGTAGCGGTCTGGGGGTAGGTGGAGAGCGGTGGGGAGGGAGGAAAGGAACGGCACAGAGAAAGGAGAGTGAGGAGAATATGAGGAGCACTCAGTGCAGTCGTATGCCTGGTGCTTGAACACCTCTGGCATCATGTAGCGGTCTGGGGAGTGGAGGGAGGGGAGGTGCAGGGAGGTGGAGGGAGGTGGAGGGAGGTGGAGCGAGGTGGAGCGAGCAGAGAGGGCCTGTTGCCGCAGTAAAAAAGCAAAAACTCCTTTGTTCTGCTCTTCACCTTGACCAATTCACTCCAAACAGCTGCCAGTCTCCCCCGTCATCTCCTGCATCTCATGCAGCGCGCTCGACTTCATAGCCTCTCGTCCTAAAGCAACATGAGTTGATGGAAGTAAGGCCTCCGCAGCCCACCTGTCCGCTTTTGACAGCTCCCCCTCATCTCATACCGGCCCCTCACCTGGCCCACCTGTCCCCATCATCTCATCTCCTACATCTCATGCAGCGCGTTCAACTGCACCAGCTTGCTCCGCCCCGGTATTGAAAAACCCCATAACCAGAATCCTTAACAGATTCCCCAACAGAAGGGGCAACAATCCCCTTAACATGTTCACTCACAGCTGCCCGTCTCGCCAGTCATCTTTTACATCTCATGCAGCGCATTCACCTTCACCAGCTTGCTCAGCCCAAGGTGGGTGCTGCCTCCACACCACATTCTCACACCTGCCAGCCTCCCCAGTCACTCACAGCTGCCAGTCTCCCCGGTCATCTTGTACATCTCATGCAGTGCATTCACCTTCACCAGCTTGTACCCCCGAGCTTGGTGCTGCCACTACCACACCAAATCAACAAACGACTACCCTCACAGCACACATCAACTCACAGCTGCCTGTCTCCCTGGTCATCTTGTACATCTCATGCAGTGCATTCACCTTCACCAGCTTGCTCAATTAAGTGTTCAGACATCTCATAACCTGCCTCCGTAGCAAAATGCTCAACAGGTTCCGCACAAACCCCCCAACAGGTCTACTCACAGCTGCCGGTCTCCCCAGTCACCTTGTACATCTCGTGCAGCGCGCTCACCTTCACCAGCTTGCTCAAACCGAGCTTGGTGCTGCCTCCACATCACATTCCCAAACACACTCACTCACGCCTGCCAGCCTCCCCAGTTACTCACAGCTGCCGGTCTCCCCAGTCATCTTGTACATCTCGTGCAGCGCATTCACCACCACCAGCTTGCTATAGCTTGGCAGCCAGACCTCAACAACAGATCTATTCCTTGCCCAAGGTCACTCACAGTCAGCCCAAGGTCACTCACAGCTGCCGGTCTCCCCAGTCATCTTGTACATCTCGTGCAGCGCATTCACCTTCACCAGCTTGCTCAAACCAAAGTCCGCCACCTTTAGGTGATCCCCTTCATCTCGAATCAAGTTCCTGTCGGCACAGAGCAAGCATGGAGTGTAGGGCCAAGGCGGGGGAAAGCGGTGGGGGGAGGGGGTACAAAGGAACAAGCGACCGGCTCAGACCAAAGTTCCCTTCCCTTGTGGTGATCTTCCACGTTCCGAATCAGGCTCCTGTCGAGTGGGTGTGAAGCAGGGAGGGGCAAGGGCGGAACACAACAGAAGTGAGAGAGAGTGGAGTCGAGACAGCTTATAGCGGGACAACAGGCACCTTGGTTCGGGGACGAGACAGCCTACACATATAGCAGGACAGTACACACCTTATTTGGAGGACAAAATAGCTTTTAGCAATTCACCACGCACCTAGGCTTGAGGTCTCTGTGAATGATGGACTCGGGCTTGTGGTTGTGCAGGTAGTTCATTCCCCTGGTGGAAGGGTTGGGGGTGGGAAGAATGGGGGAGGGGAACGGGAGGGGTGGTTGCTGAGAGGGGAGCAAAGAGAACGATGGATTCGAGCTTGTGGTTGTGCAGTGCAGGTAGTTCATTCATTCCCCTGATGGGAGGTGATGGGTGGTCATGGGTGGTCATGGGTGGTGATGGGTGGTCATGGGTGGTGATGATGGGTGGTCATGGGTGGTGATGATGGGTGGTCATGGGTGAGACGCCAATACAAGGGAACAGGGTGAAGGGAGGGTTTTGTTTTTGTATGAGAGATCGGAGCCACTTCTGAGCCATTCTTGAGTCAAGACGGAGGGAGTAAAGTAACTTGGTCATTTCTTTCTGCTGCGCACTACAGAGGACTTCGATTTTTGAGGCGCCTCAAAAATGAGTCAAGACGGAGGGAGTAAAGTAACTTGGTCATTTCTGCTGTGCACTACAGAGGACTTCGTCTTTTATTGGCTCACACAATCAACCCCCTCACTCGCCAATTTCACCCCCTCATGTAACGAATTCAAGCCTCTCACCTGAGATCCCAGCCCCACAGCTTCCCATCTCAATCCCCTCACCTGGTGATGTCTAGTCCGTATCCCACCGCTATTCTGGGCTGCAGGGCCCAGTCCATTCTAATCCGGCCCTTAACCAGCCCCTCAGCAATAACCCCCTCCCTCACCTGGCGATGTCCAGCCCGTATCCCACTGCTATTCTGGGCGAGCGACAGGGTACACCATACTCGCCCCCCATCAGCCCCTCAGCAATCACCCCCTCCCTCACCTGGCAATATCCAGCCCGTATCCCACAGCTATTCTGGGCGGCAGGGCGCCCTTCACTAGCCCCTCAACAGCCAACCCATCCCTCATCTCACCTGCCAATTCCAATCTCCTTGCCTCGCAACCCCAACCCCCTCACCTAGCGATGTCCAGCCCGTACCCCACCGCTATTCTGGGCGGCAGGGCGCCCTTGGCCTTGAGCACGTCGTGTAGGTCGCCCTGTGTGTGGGGAAAGGGGCCCCAGGCAGGGGTGAGCGGGTGGGTGGAGAGAGTGGTGAGTGGTGAGTGGTGAGTGGTGAGTGGTGAGTGGTGAGTGGTGAGTGGTGAGTGGTGAGTGGTGAGTGGTGAGTGGTGAGTGGTGAGTGGTGAATGGTGAGTGGTGAGTGGTGAGTGGTGAGTGGTGAGTGGTGAGTGGTGAGTGGTGAGTGGTGAATGGTGAATGGTACTCAGTGACGAGGCACAGGGGCGGGCGGCGGGCGGGTGACGCACCCCAGAAACCGCACTAGGTTGGGACGCCGTAGCTTGGAGCAGCGCACACAGCATTGCATTCACCCATCTCGCATATCGCACGGCGCATCATACATGCTGCATCTCGCATGATGCTGCATTCGCATCAGTGCAGCGAGACTCACCCCAGGGAGGTACTCGGTGACGAGGCACAGGGGGGGACGGCGGGTGACGCAGCCCAGGAACTGAACTATGTTGGGGTGCCGCAGCTTGGGCAACAGAAACATTTCGTCCCGGAACTCTTTTCTGCCCATCATCAGGGAACATCAAAACGGAAAAAAATAAGGAAATGAGCAAACATTTGGCCACTTTATGATGTATGGATAGTTATGTGAATGACAATAATACAGGTTAACACCAGGAGATACACACACATGGTACAAGAAAAGAACCCATCTGATGTGAAAGGGTGCGGGAAAGATCTTGTATACATCTACATAAACATCATTATAATACTCGCCAAAAGTATGAACCTCACGTGATCTGCACGTCGTCTGATAGACCTGGTAGGATTGTCTTAGCGGCCACTGGGGTGCCTCTCCACATGACCCTCCTGATCTCACCGAACGCACCCTGGGATGAAAGGAGGGGGGAAAAGGGAACGAGATTGTTGGGAGGGAGGCAACAATGCATTCAGGCTTGGCGGCCACTGGGGTGCCTCTCCATATGACCTCCTGATTTCACCGATCGCACCCTGGGATGAGGGAAGGCGGGCACGAGGGAAAGAGGGGCGAATGTGGGAGGGAGGGATGGGCGGAGGAGGGATGGAGAGATGGGGAGGGGAGGGTGGGGGAGGAAATGGGACAAGGAAGGAGGGGGTGGAGACTAGCTTTGAATTGTTGAAGTCCAGTTTGCACAGGATTATTTCCTTGCCATTCCATTCATGAACAAACGCCTGCACACATCCTCGTTCCCACTCTCTCGTTCTCACACGCAGTCACTCGCACTCACTCTCACAACCACACACATAACCCTTACTCATTCACACCCACCTTGCCGATAAGTTTTGACTTGCTGAAGTCCAGCTCCGATGGGTCTATCTCCCAGTCGTCCGCTTCTGCCCCCTGTGGTGGTGATGGGGGTGGAGTGAGGTTGGTTTCGGTTTGGTACGGTTTGGTATGGTTTGACAGGGTGTGGTGTGATTCGGCGCGCGACATGGTGATGGGTGTGATTTAATTTCGTGATCTCCGGAAACTGCATTTCCTTCCCTTCCCTTATACATGCAATGCATCTCTCATCTCCCGTCAGCATACACACGCTCATCACATGCACTCCGTCTCACCAATCCTCGCCACTCCGCACCATTCTTTTCCACTCTCCACCACTCTCCATCACTCCCCACCACTCCTCACCACTCACCCCCTCAATACCGCCATGCTTCAAGAGCACTTGAATAATCTCCGGAAACTGCCCCTTCTTCCCCTCCCGCATGGCCTTGCGCGCGTCTGTCAGTGGCTGTGCAGGGGGAGGGTGGGGGGAAGAAGGGGGGGTGTGGGGGAAGGGTGAGGGGGGGGGGGGGGTGGGGGGGAGAGGGGAATTCGGAGAAGGGGGATGTATGGGCAGGGGCGCAAGGGGGAAGCGATAGCATGGACTTCTTTAGTCAACTTTTGAGAAGTCGATTCAGAAAGTCAATCAGAACATACTACCCGCCCCTGGCCCCTCCTCCTCCTCCCCCCACCTCCCTCTGTTCCATCCCCCTACAGCCATTAATACGGACCGTGTGTCCCCATCTGTCGCGCGGGTTGACTCTCGCGCCGCGCGCCAGCAGCAGTTTAAGCACGCCCAGGTGGCCCTCGCACGCCGCGAGGTGTATCGCGGACCGCCCGTCGTAATCCGCGCTATTGACATCCGCGCCTTCGTCTAGAAGCCGCGTTAATTCGTCCACGTCGCCCTGGCTCGCGACGAAAATCATGTTCGTCATTCGCGAAAGCTGGTCCTGCCACTTGCTCTGCGACGACGACCCCTGCGAATGCGACGAACCATGCGACCCGTGCGATCCGTCACGCGCGCTTCCCCCTCCGCCATCGCCGACGCCTCCGCCGCCTCCGCCGCCGCCGGCCCCGCTGTGGCTGGGGCCAGCAGCAGAGCTGCCGTTTACTACGGCGGGAGACCCGCGCGCGCCTGATCCCACGGCTGCGGGGTTTCCGCCGACTGCTGTTGCGGGAGCTCCCGCGGACGCTCCGCCAACTCCCCTTCCCGACCCCATGAGTGCAGCTTTCGCTGCTGATACTAGTCCGCCTACGCTTCCCCGCTTGCGCGAACTGTATCACCCTGTTTTATTTCGCAGTCCTATTTTGCCGCTGCTACAGCCGCTGCTACAACCACTGCTACAGCCGTTGCTACAGCCGTTGCTGTAGGCAAGCTTGCGTTGAGATGCCACGTGACGGCTGCAGGCAACACACCGACACTGCTCTTCCCCGCGCCTACTACCCTCGCGACATTGTTATCGCGTCTTTCGCAACCCGTCGCATGGCGACGATCATTCGGTTCGCTGCTGCGTCGATGCTGCGCGACAGCCAAACCGTGCAGGATAAAGAACGAGAGCTCGGCTTCCTTGCACTGCTTTGACGCGATGTCGTCTCGCTCAAGTCAAAGAACAACCCGTGCTACGATATCGCCAGGCGGTGCGGAAAGACGAGCGGGAAAAGCGGAAAACATGAAGGTGGAGGAAAATCGTACGCCCGTAAGAACCTTTGCACAATGCAGTGGGCGGGGAGTAATCCTAGTAGTGTATGGTCCTGTGGGAGTGATTCGTGATTAGCATTACCGGGAACTCATTGACCACTTAGCAGTGACGGCTACGATCTGTGCTCACTTGGCATATCAACACGAGGGACCTATTTGTCGATGCGGCTCGTGTGGAGGAAAACCTACTATGTCAGTCTAAATACCCGCACAAAGCGGTCAAGTACTTGGCGGGTAGTGTGTAGAATGGAAGAGTACGTATTCGCGACTGTGTCATCCACGTGAACACAGACTTATTCCACATAAATAAGTGTGCGAGCAGGGGAGGTGTGTGTGTGAGGCGGTGTTGGGTAAGAAAAGGTGACAAGTGGGAAGTTGAGAATACGCGGGAAGGGAAAGGTAGGAGGTCAAGCGACAAGGTTGGCGGGAAAAACTACACTGCAGCGCCAAGCTCGAGGGGAGTGTTATCTCAACTCACGATCGTCTGGTGATCGTCCAGTGCGTTTTAGTAAGAGTTTTCACGGTTAACAGCGTTTCTGATCCAAACTAGGAGCAATTTCAAGGTGTTCCTGCTGCAGCGCTAGGGGCACTGAATGGGCTGCAGTTGATTCGCTCCCCACTTGCTCCCATGGGCCATGGGACTGCCGAGCTAGCGAGCACGTGGGTCAAATTCCCATGAAAAGGGCACCCCGCCCGTCCCCAACCCAGATCAGCACAATGTGACCCACGTGGGGAAGGACCTTGCGTCTGCTATATAGCTGGCTTCAATAACTTGACGCCCTTGACTACACTCCTACTGGAATTTCAAACTGCAGTAATTCCCGATCCGATTCATAATCCAACAGTAACTTTCCAGCTCCAGTACCTGCTTCACCAGTGCTTGAAACTGCTGCTTGTGCCCTCGCCACACCACACCATTCCCTCCCACCAGCTCGAACACTGGGATTGTCTCAAAAGTCATCACAGCGTTCAGGCTGGTGGTCTCGCTGCTGGCCCCTGTCATTCCATGTAGGGCAGGCTTCTAAGTACACCGAAAGTTGACACATCGCACGATTTCCTCAGGCGTCAGCGCCACTTTATTAGGTTCGTGTGGGTACCCTTTTCTTGTGAGCGAAACAGTTGGCCACATTAGCGCTTACTTAGTACATTTTTTGTTTAGTCCGGATAATTATTATCTTATTGAGAATTGTCCTGGCCCGACCTGCTTCCGCCACTCCTTCCAGTTTTTTTACGTATTCAGCGTTAGATTGGTCAGCCATTTCGACGTGTTTTCGCCACAAATCCACGTGGCAGTGACTCAGCCATTCATGGATACGCCGGCATCTGAGCCTGCTCTTGCGTCAGATTCTTCCACGTCAGCAGAGGACGTGGAGGAGGTTGAGATTGAGGTGGTCGACGAGCCGCGTCGCGCGGATTTTCAGGAGAAAGTGCGCCGATTGCGGCAGGTTTTGCGGGATCGCGGGATCCAGTCCGCGTTGATCTCGTCCGTTCCTAATTTCTTCTGGCTCACATCCGGCGGTCGAAATTACGTCAGTCTTTACACGCAGCAGGTAGGGTTTCGCACTAAGGCAATGCCAGACCAGAGGAAATCAATTCTGGTTAGTGGGTTCAAGATCTCATACTTCCCCGACTTTGAATTCGCGGTGTAACCTATATAGTTGTTGATGCTGACAGGGTGGTAACCAGTAACATTGTGAGAAAGGGCTATTTTGCAGTGATCATTCCATTCCACCCATTGCCCCTACAACCCCCACCCCCCAGGGAGTGGCGTCTATGTTCGTCGATGCCGACAGGGTGGTGCTGGTAACCAGTAATATTGAGGCAGAATGGATATCATGTGTTACTCTATCGTTCAATAAGATCGAGTTATCCTTTCCCCTCCTTTCCCCCCTTCCCTTCTTTCAATTCCTCGTTTCAGGGAGTGGCGTCTAGTTTGTGGACGCGGACAGGGTGGTGCTGGTAACCAGTAACATCATTTCAGATTGCCAACTTGTGTAATGCCAACATTCACCAGGAGCAATTTTATCCCTTCCCCCATGCTCTCTCCAGGGAGTGGCGTCTATGTTTGTGGACGCGGACAGGGTGGTGCTGGTAACCAGTAACATTGAGGCGGAGCGAATCACAGCAGAGGAGCTCGCAGGGCTTGGCAGTATTCAGGTGTTCGCCAAGCCGTGGTTCTGGGACGACTCGGCGCACTTGAACAGGTAGGTGCTGGAAAGTTGTACAGTAGTTTCTGTACAGTAAACCTGACACAATAGGTTTGATACAGTATATTGTATTTGTCATATCCCCCCAACTGATCCATCCTTTCCCCCCCATTTCCTGATCTCCACTAACCTCCTTCCGGGCTCATGATAACTCTAGGTCGCTGATTCAAGCCGAGCCAGACACAGGGGACACGACTCATTCCCGCCCTCCTCCCATCTCCCTCATCCCCCCAATCCCCCTGAACCCCCCCACTCCTCCCACCTCACCCATCCCCCCATCCAGGCTCATGCCACTAGGTCGCGGGTTCAAGCCCGGCCAGACACAGGGGACACTACTTGTGTGTCCCATTTCTCATCTCCCCCATCCCCCATCCCCTTCAATTCCCTGTTCCCTCCATCGCTCTCATCCCCCATGTAGGCTCATGACTTTAGGTCGCGGATTCAAGCCCGAGCTGACACAGGGGACACGACCTGTTTCCCCTATCCTCTCATCTCCCCATCCTTTTCTTCCCACTGTTCCTCCAAATCCCTCCCTTCTCCCATCCAGGCTCATGACTCTAGGTCGCGGGTTCAAGCCCGAGCCAGACACAGGGGACATTCTCACCCCAATATTCGCCGAGCTAAGAGCCACTCTTACCCCCTTCGAAGTGGATAAATACCGCGTTCTAGCCCGGCAGTGCGGGGAGCTTCTGGGAGAGGTAGCGCGGGGGTTGAGGAGGGGGATGACTGAGAAGGAGGTGGCAGGGGCTGTGGCGGGCGCGTGTTACTCGAGGGGAATTCACCCTATTTTATTGCTGGTGGGGGCGGATGAGAGGATGGATAAGTGGCGACATCCGCTGCCCACTTCTAATGTGGCCAAGGTGAGAAAGAGAGTGAGTGAGTGGGTGAGTGAGAGAGGGTGAGGAGTGAGGGAGCGAATGAGTGAGTGAGGGAGGAAGAAAGAGAAAGTGATCGAGTTGGGCTTGGTTAGCCAGCTAAGGTCAGAAACTTCACGATTGATGAAGTAGGGTTTCAACAGCCGCCTCCTCTTTTCTCTCCACGAGCACCATTGTTGTAACCCACCCACCCACCCACCCACCCACCCGCCGCCAAACCCCTCCGAACCCCTCCCATCCCCCTAACCATTCCCCCCCTACTTTCTACCTTCTTCCTCCCCCCTCCCCCCTTGAATCTCCTGCATCACTCGTGCATTCTTATACTGCGCTATTCTAATTCCCCCTTATACTGCGCTATGCTTGTTGTCGTGGCTTCAACGCCTTTCTCGTCCTGTCTTTTACGTGTTAAACATAATTGCCTCAAACAGTCCTCCCTGTCACCCCTCTTCCTGTTTCTCTCTCACCACCTGATGCACAAACCCCTCACTTCCGTCTCCATCTGTCCTTTTGTCTTTCCACTACCCTCCCCTTCCCCGCGCCCTTCCCTACCCGCCTCCTGCTCCCCTCCTCTCCCCCCTCACCCCCCCTGTTACAGTCACGCCTCGTCATTACCCTGTCCGGTCGTCGTCACGGGCTCATCGCCTCTCTCTCCCGAGTCGTCCATTTCGGCCCGCTCCCCTCGGACTCGCCCCTTCGCTACAAGCACACCGCTGTGACTTACGTGGATAGCGTCGCCATCGCCAGCACGCGTGTCGGCGCCACGTCAGATGCAATCATGGCAAGAATCCAGCAGGCCTATGAGGAGCGAGGGTTTCGGGATGAGTGGTTGCATCACCACCAAGGGGGAGCGACGGGGTACAGGACTAGGGAGTGGAAAGCGGAACCGGGTGTACGGTATTATGTGGGCTCCCCACAAGCGTTTGCGTGGAATCCGTCTATAGCGGGTACAAGATCAGAGGATACGATCTTGGTGGGGGGCGGTGCGGGGGACGGTGGTGGAGTGAGGAATGGAGCAGGAGATGGGGGAGTGGAGGGGGCATGTCCGGAAGTCTTGACGGCGACGCCTGATTGGCCGATGATTCGGCATGTCGTTGATGGAATTGAAATCATGCGACCAGATGTGTTGGAAATCATGGACTGATGGAGCCATCGGTATGCCTGTTTCAACCACTCAAGCACAGCGTTTCGAATGTTATTCTCCATAAGGGGGTGCATGGTCAGCGCCTTATAGACAGTTCCAATTACCTATGGATCATAAAGCCATATCTCAGTAACAAAATGCACAATATATAACACAATCAAAACAAAGCTCACAAAACCTATGTACACCCTACACTCATCACTCAGCAATTGATTGGCGGCTCTGTTTTCCTAACCGGAGCGCACGCACTTTTTGCTTCCCGAGCTTTACAAGCCAGACAAGAACCAGGCAGCTGGCA